CGGGCACATCGACATTCATGTCTGCAAGCCGGACGTTTCGGGCAACCTTGGCGCCAGCCTCCCGGCAGACTCGCGCGACGGCATGTTCTAGCGGCAGGGCCCGCGTAGGCAGGACTCCCGAGGTGGCACAAGCTGCGTGGTGGTCACCCAAAGGGTCGAGCTGCCCTCGACAGCTGCATCTGCGCGGCGCGAGCGGAAGAGGAAGCCGCAAGCGGCGCAGCAGGAGAACACGAAACAGGGCACTGGGTATGGTAATGTCATCCCGCGTGGGTGTAAAAGCGCGGGCGGCGAAAAGCCCAGCTTGGGACAGTAACAGCGCGCAAGAAGCGGGTGTGAGGTCAGAAAGGTGCATCTCGTACGCGCGCTTGTCAGAAGCGTGGGCAGGGCGCGGCACGCCGCACTCCGGGTCGCCGAGCGTCGCAAACACTCGGTGGGCGGACTACAGCAGCTCGTCGTGCTGGGTTCCGCGGCCAGAAAACGCTAGAACATCGGTCGCGAGTACGGCGCCAGGGCGGCCAAGCGTCGGCTGAGGAGTTTCGAAGACGCCACATGCCTGACGGCAGTCACATGTGCGAATCTGTGACACTGCCCTACATGGCATTCCGGTGGTTTACAAGGACCCCGGCACATGCTGCCAGAATTCGCAGCTAGGTCCGGCTCAGCGTAGGTGTCGATGGAATAGGGGTTTGTGTTTGGCAAACAGGGGTGGAGAAGCACCCCTCCCAGACACGCACGCACAATGACAGCATGACCTTGCAACAACAAAACCCGATCCTGAATCGGAGCGTTGGCCGAGTTTAGCTTGGAACGAATATTTACCGATACCGATACCGATAAGCAGGTCCAGCATAAAGACTGTATATTGCAGAATCATACGTGTAACGTATCATTCGGCAACATTTCTTGCGTGAGGCCCCAACATGCCCCAACCATGGCTTGTTGCAGAATACACGTGGTTCAATATACGTACGTGCACTCATTCTGCAATAAAGCGAAAATGAGGGGGGATGTTCACCGCGCTGCGCAAGCCGGACGGCGGAGCGAACAGCATCGCTATTTGGGACGTGCTCAGCGATGGCCCCATGCGGCTTGGCCAAACAATGGGCACCCACGTTTGATGAAGCAACGCGCCCGTACCACTTTGCTCTGCAGGCACGGGCCTGTGTCGCTCGCGCATGGACACCACTGCGCACGGCGTCCCTGCTGCCGCCGGGGATCTCGTGATCTACGGAGCGCTGCCGCTCGGCGGAGCCCTGTGTTGCGATGCCACCCTTGTCTCGCCACTGACACGCACGGGCCTTCCCCACACCCAAGCTGCGATTGAGCTCCGCGGTAGCTTTGCCGGATGCATGTAACAAACCTCGGAGATAAACTATGGATTCCCGAATACAGATGAGGGAACCGTCCGGCTTCGGGATATGTGTTCATAACAAGATCTGTCCTTTCCGCCAGTTGAAAGATAAACCATATTGCGAACCACATCGTCCTGCAACGCATATGTATATGTAGCAGCCCGCCGACAGGAGACGAGCTGGAGAGCGTGCTATCTGCGGGTCTGCCGGAATAAATTCCAATCCGAAGCCGACAGAAGGATGCACATATCAATTTTCGAAAAATCTATATTTAGGGTCTGCAGACCCGTTCACAACAAGCACGCCGGCATCTTCCGCTCAGCGAACTGGACCCGAATTCGGTGGAGGGGAGTTGGTGCTGGCACCGCATGCAGAGCCAAAGCGGGTGCCATGCAGCGGTACCGTCGGCGCTGCCTTGAAGCACGGAAGTCCAGTGCATGCAATTGTCCTTCATCTCAGCGGTTGCAGCAAGAAGCCCGGATGTGCAATAGCTCTGTCGGTTCGGTCGCATCGACCCAGCAAAATGTTCTGAGAGCACGGATAACGGCGTAGTCGATGGCCCGCGCAGCTGGCACCTGAAAATCGATTCGGAGGTCGCCGCAATACCAAAAGGATATTGGGTTGATGTGGGAGGTGGTCAATGGCAGCCCGGCAATTCGGCTTTTACTGTGGAAGCACCCGCAACGCACCAGGCATGATTGCAACACGGGCATGCGGGCGTGCCCAGCTGCGGACTTCGGGCCCGGCTCTAGCAGGCACACAGGGCAAGCGGACCACTGTTGGTGCCGCGAACGCCGGAGTTCCGTCTCCGCAGCACGAGATGCCATGGGCGCCGTCGGTGAGGGCTGAAGTGGAGGAGGCGGCAATCTTGGGTGAAAGGTCTGGTAGCACCTCGAAGACAGCAGGCAGCAGGCGGCGCCGACATGGCGCACGCCCGGAGCTTAAAAAATCGAGCTGCTGGCAAGAAGTAAATGCGCGCCAAAGGACTAACATGCCTGCATCACACTGGATGGGACGCAGCTATACTAACGCTATACAACTCTACAAATTTCAACAATGCACTCTGCCACCAGCGTAATTCAACTGAGAGTGCTTACTGTATGGAATTCTGTTATAACCTAGTATTTTGCCAAATTCAGATGCACCCAGCGAGCTGCAACTCTATGGTTGAAGGCCTTCAACCGCTCAACCCGACTTAGGCATTCGGACCAATATGTTCTTTGAAAGGCCGAACAACACGATGAAAATGATTGTGTGCTGCATGGAAAGGTGCATCTGGTGTTATCACAACAGTCACGGTTTCTGGCTCGCCATGCAATGTTGCGTCGAACACTGGCCTTGCGGCTCGGATGAATGGGTCCACTCTCTGCGTCCGCGCAGGAAGGCCACGGGCAGTCAGCAGCTCGGCTCGCCCTTGCTCGCTGCTGCGTGGCACGCTTGAGTCGCAGGTGCGGCCCGAGCACGAACAGTTTCCACGGCCTCATCGGTTGGGCTGGGCGCCGGCTGCACGGACGGTAAATGCATCGTGTACCGTGCGCTGCGCACGGATGAGCGCAGAAACGGCGGCGTGTTTTGCATGTTTTGCATCGTCGCACCTCCTCCAAAACGTCGATGGGGAAAGGAGCCCGGAAATAACGCGACTGGCAACAGTCCTAAAGATCTTTGTCTATGCAACATGCAGCGATTACAGCTCTTCGGTGCGACCGGTCACAACGAGTTCCCGTCTTGTCGCCTTAGCTGCCTCAGTTACTTGGGCTGCAGACTACTGACACTCTCCATCTTTTTCACTCGCGGATTGGAAAAAGCGTATGCTGTCCCACGCTTCAAACGGCTGCACGGCTCCACCAGCTTCGCAGAGCGGCAGGAAAATCAGGCTTCCCACTGGGACCAGCACCGGCGACTCAGCAGTTTGCCCCGGCGTTGGGGTTGGGGCGGTCTAAATTGAATCACAGCCCCGATGTCCGCTGCTCAGTTGGCATGGCGACCACCCCAGGCCCCAGGGTCCGTGGCCTCTGTTCTCCAGAGGGGCCGCTGTGGCAAAGCCCTAAGCCCTAGTCGATGTTTGCCTGGTTCTCTTCTTCGGACTTGACAATCTTGACAACACGCACACACACACACAGAGTAGCAACAAGAAGAACAAGAAGAATCCTGGCACTTGTCGAGCTGCCTGCACTAACAGAAGGGATCCAGGCTTGACAAAATGATTAAAAGGTGTCGGCGCGCATCCTACGGGGTGAGCCGAGAAAACAAGCTATCAGATGCTAGCAGGTTGCAGATCATTCACATCATTGTCGAACGAGAGTCGGAAGGTCAAGAGTTCCACTACCCGCTACCGCCTGCATGTCTTCGTGGAGAAGGCCGGCTCTCAACAAGCTCCTGGCTCTTTGAGCGAGGCTCAGCCAATAAGCCTCGGCTTGCCGGCCACAGAGACCAAGTTGATGCAGTAGCGGTTGCCATTCGAGTCCTCGGCTCCCCGCAGTATCCCTCTTCCACAGCCGAGGGAGGTGTGTTTTGATTTCAAGACAAGATTGCACTGCTTACCGTGGTGTGAATGTACCGAGCTGCTGGAATGTTGTGGCCAAGATGGGTCCCATCCACTGAAACGCACTCGCCACCGGGCAGGCAGCGAACGTTCTCCCAATTGACCTCCTGCCAATAGCTTGCATCTCCATATCCCGTATCTCACCACAGCCATGTTAGCGATTGAAATCAAAAAAACTTATGGCCGCCCGGTGCCCTGCGAACGAGGAATTCCGTGAATGGCAAGCTTAGGGTGTCTTTGCGTCGGCCTGGGCACATGGAGCCTCAGACCGTTGCGAAAGATTCTGCTTGCGCTCGCCAATACTTGGAAGCTGCATCGCTTAAACCTGAAGATTCGTCTCCTCAGCAGTACGGTCTACCTACAGGGAGGTGCCGGATCCTCGTAATCATGTTGAGTCTCGTGAGTTGCTGCTTGGGGTCTTGGGCTTACAGATAGACATTGACTTGCAGCCTTAAACCACTGGACGCACCAAAGCACGAAAGCCCTCACACATTTAAATCCCAAGCCAGATAAGGCCCCTTCCTCGTCGCGGAAAGAAGGCCAACCGTGGGACTTGGACTCCTCCAGGAAGGCAGGGTTTCGGGGGGGCTTTAAGGACTTGCCAAGCGCATGCTTTCTCAGCAGGATCCAGCGCTTCAGCACCAGGCATGAAAGCTGAAGTCAGAACTTCATGCAAACACATGGCCCAGGAATCATTATCTTCATCATTACCCTCACAAGGAGCATCACAACAAGTACTACGGCACCACACCACCACCACCACCACTACCACTACACCACAACCAACAGCAGCCTTTTGTTTCTCCTCGTTACACAATACCAATGGCGAATAACAGCAATAATCGAGAGAACAAAACATTATCCACTCCGCATTGTGGCGCAACATCCCGTCGCCAAGCCTTCTCAAACTGCTCCCAGGTCCTGCAACAGAATGGATGCCTATACAGTGGTAAGTATAGTAACACTAATACTTTACTGTCCCGTGAGACCTGACACTACACGTGCGAAGAGGGCTTTCTACTCGCATGTTTGGAAACAAACTGTCTTGCAAGCTGCAGCCCACGTCATGCGAAGGCCCACGCATGTGCAAACCGCTACAAAACCGCCGGGTTGAGCTTCCAAAGCGGGGCTGCAAGCTGCGTCAAGCTGCTGGGCCTTCCCTTCGGGGCTTCGAAGAGCGGCTTCCCCGTCACGGAGTCGTAGAACGTCTCGCCCTAAAGTCGCTGCGCTACTTCGGGTCGGGATTCAAGGGTGCTGGGACAGACAACGAGCCAGGCCAGAAACCCCGAGAGCAGAAATCCCAGGGAAGCGCCTCGCGATTGGCCTCAGTGAGGAAAGCAGTCGAGCGCCAGTAGCCTGCGTACTCCGCGAAGTGCCGGTTGAAGCTGCAGATCCTGCCCAGAAACCGAGGCTACGGAAGTTTAGTCAGCTGGGAAGATGATATGTGTTGCCATCATAACTTCAAGATGCTTCCAGCAGGAGGAGCCTGCGACCCAGCAACAGCCCTCGCAAATGAAACCGCAATCATCTCAACCTTTGCGAAGATTCTGCAGCGCCCGAAACGAGCCCCTGATGACGAAGAGCGGCCTGTCTGCGGTGTTCCAGTCCACGTTCCATCGAAGGCCCTCCTCGCCAAAACGACAGAAAGGGCCGACCCGAATCTGTCCAAGCCGCTGTCTTAGGAAGAGTTGAGCGAGGCATGATTTGGAGCCCACCAACTACAAACCTCGGACGGACAAAGCTCAGATGATTCGGAATTTCAGGCTTCCATGCTTGAGACCTCGAGACTCCAGCTCGAGGCTGAGTCTCTCCCAAACTCCAAACTGTGTCAAAGCTTGAACTCCCAGACCTAGAAATCTCAACCAAACCCTTTCCAAGTAGCCCGTTCAAGAAACTGCTTTCGGACCCCACTTTTCGCCTGCACGGGTCGATCCGTCGAGCCGTGACTCTTCGGAGCCATGATGTCATCGCTGCCTCACCGGGAAAGAGTTCAGCTTCGGCGTTTAGGCCTGAGCTTCGGATAAATGTATGGTTCAGGGCTTGGCATCGGCATCGCAGATATCCACACCAAGGCAGCTACTTTGGGGAGGCAGTTCCCACCCGACATCGTTTTGCCGAAGTACAGGTGCCTATTTTCGAACTTCCTCTGCGGCTGTTGGATGCGTGCTTAAGGGCACAACGGCCCACAACAAGACATGCATTGTTTGCGGCCTGTGCGAAGTGTAGGATGCAGCCTGTCGTGACATACTGACATGTTTCCCAAAGCCATGTCTCCTTGAGGTTCAGTGCTCTGCCACGCATCTGAACCTCTGCCTGAAAGACATTCCCAGCTAGAAGCCCAAACCCAATGTGTTTATGTGAGTTGATTTCCACCAGCTCTCCAAAACGGCCTGCCAAAAAAAACGCCGAAACAGGATGGTTTTGGAAGAAAACCGCCGGCCTTGGACTGGATACTGGCCGGCTTTGGCCGGACGAAGCTTCGACAACGCAGCACCCGTCACTGCCAGGGCGCCAACGATCCCACGGCGCCAGGAGCCCTCCATGGGCTTTGAGGGGAGGCTTTTGAGTCCTATCGAAATAGCCACTGGAACGATGCTCGTTAACCCGGCACATTCACGGGGCTAGTTCTGATCTGCAATCCCTGTAGTCCACTCAAGTGCCCGGCTTCGGATGCAGATTTCTTTCCGTCAGCTCCTGGTCAAGCAGTGCGGGAACAGGTGAACCCACTCCAAACAGTGCGACACCCGGGTCCGCCTGACCATTTACGCCTCTACGTTCACACGGAATATCTCCATCTGTCTCCTCCATCTGGCCCGGCCCCACGTGCCACGATGGAGCCGCGCAAACTACGCTTTTCGATGCTTGGCCTCGGCATCTACCAAGAAAAGTTGCATCCTTCTTGATCCTGGCACTAACATAACGTCATATCGCTTGTGGATGCGGCCGAGAAACGTCACAAATCCAACGTTCCACAAACAAACAGCCCAGGTGGCGAGGGTAGCTGCCGCGAGCATCCGCATGTTGAAAAGGATCGCGGGCGGTTCCAAGATTGTACGACTTCGAGACAGGGCGACAAATTAAGACTGTTTGAGAATCGCAGAACTCACAAGATATGGCAATGATTGGCAATGAGCCAAACACCAACATGAGCTTCTGGTCCGAAATTGCTACGGGAGCCTCATGCACACGCAGAAAAGCAACTAATTCTGCCAACGCGACGACGCGCTTACGAAGGTACTTGTTAGCAAAACTCAAAAGCTTTCCTCTACCATGTACATGCTAAACTCAAAAGCTTTCCTCTACCATGTACATGCTGGGACAATCGTCGCATCTATCTTGAGTCAATCCCGCATTAGAATAAGAATGTCAAATGCTCGTCTGCAAAACTCCAATGTGAAGCTGAACTTCTTCTTGCGAGTCCCAAACAGGAACCGCTGCCTGCGGTTGGGTGAAACTCCCTTGGCTGGAACTAACCCGTGGCTGGAACAAAACCCTTCCTGGAACAAGCCCCTGGCTGGAACAAGCTCCGGGTTGGAACAAGCCTCAATAAAAAACAGCATGCTCTGATTGGAGAGACCTCTTGGCTGGAACAACCCCCGGCTTGGA